ACACACACACACACACACACATCATGGACAGAGAGAATACAGTACCTAAGACAGACCAAGAATGAATTGAATCTACTCAATCATTTCCCGACGCTACAAGAAAAAATTTTCCATTAGGACCATAGGGGGAAAAAATATGTAGCAGCATCTCCGGTTTGTTGATGATCTCACGTCAGTTGTAACAGATACTACGATGATGAGAAAGGCATTTTGGATTACTGAAAGTGTTATATATTAATACAATTTGATGGACCCATAAGAAAGCTGTCTTTATTATTTTAATGAAGGTTACTATGTAATAACACCCCCTCCCCCTCCTCTGTAATACTATAATAGTGTCGTTACCGCACTTATCTTCCACACATTTTACAAGTCTGTTATTACTCCACTGTAACAAAACACGTGAATATATGTATGACTCGTGACGCAGTGTATAACATGACGAGTGGTGGTGATGTGTGTACAATATTATGACAGATTCCGTCTCGTCAGCCTCATAGAAGCCAAACAACAGTGGGATTTACCATGATAAAAATGTAATTGTATTTGTACTTTTTACGAAGAAGGAAAAAAAAAAGATGATATCCATATCATGAAATATAATTGGAGATAAACTTTGTATTTTCACCTCATTTTGATTTCCCGAACGCTGGATATCTATCACCATAGTAACCTTAACCCACAATAACATTATTCGTCGGTAACTGTTTGGATCCGCATTGCAGCAGGCAGGCGGTGCTCACTAAGCCTGAAACGCGCCACGCCTCAACCCTCGGCTGCTGTACAAAGACCACTACTAAGTTATTTGAAGTGGGTTACATGACGTTAAGCAATATAAAGCATGTGATGATGTATATGTAAAATAACCTTGAACTTCCTTCCTTGAAACAATATGAGTTACTCTCACGCTGTGGCCACGTTGAAATAAATTTTCCAGGAAACCGCATTTTTTCTTCGTTTTTGATTGAGTTAATGCCACTTGTTTTCTGATATTAGAATATCTCCTTCTGTGAGTGAGTGAGTGAGTGAATCCCATTTACAGCTGCAAGAATTCATGTTTATTTCAAATTGGCGTCATTTGGTTCGCTGTTCATTACCTGCTTCGATCCATCGTCACCTCATAGTGTTCAGATGTTTATATGGAAAATATTTCTATCTTATCATCCACTGTTTTTCTTGTATCCAGAATATCCTCCAGTTGTCCTATGCTCATGGAATATAAGGTTTAGTGGTCTACTGTATTAACTGATGGCCTCGCAGACATTCATGAAATTCAACGTTCCGACTCGCTGTTTGATCTATGGGTGCATTAAACCTTTCCCCATGATTCATCCGATGATCAAGTATAACCAAAGGGAACGATAATCCCAAACTCCACAAAATTGGTCTCATAAATTCGTTAGTGGTGTTGGTTTCAGTATCAGTAAAGCTGTTATATAGCAAAGAATGCCATTACCGTAGCGAGAAGAGAACAGAGGAACATGCACTAAATCTGAGATTATCTTAACCTTGAAATTGACCCCCTCAATTTAGTGGATATGTTACTACTTGTAACATGAAAACAGTACCTGAGTGTTACCCTTATTGGTGTAGATAATTTCTCATTGTCTATTACTATGATAAGTTGAGGATAATTCCCCTTCACAATTTCAATCGTGGAAAATATTGACACTTCTTATCGCAAATTATGTACACTACTTATCTCAGTTTCTGGTGTTAATTGCGTATTAGTGTCAATATCATATCCCCCTGTTATTTATTACTGAGGGTCCTTGGTTGCTGGACTTATTAAGGATTGAAACAATGATTCCTTTTAATGTTTGAATATTTATGATACATATGATGGTGCGCTAATTTTTTCTTGTTCATTCGCTCGTGGAACATGCTAAGCAGGTATTGTCAGCAAACTCATTCATCCACATGCTCCCCACACTATAAAGGATCTGGCAAAGTTCCTGAAATTGCATCTCAATGTACTACTACTGTGAGTTTCTCGCGGATCCAACGCGCAGAAGAAAGAAGCACATGAGATTCTTCTTTTGCAACTACAGTAACAGTGTACAGTAGTTGGATCAGGTCCAAACAATGGGGTCAGACAATTTCTGTAACATACTGGACGCCTCTTAAGTAAAACAACAAGTCTGCCTTGTGTTATCCCGCGTACAAGTTTTGTTAGAACTTCGTTGTTTGACCAGAGTACACATATATGAACGTAATTACCCAGCAACAACTGGTGAGACAAGCGTGCCGAATACATCTTAATATGGTACCTTCTAAATGAAAAAGAGCATCCTTGTAAGGCCTCTTGATGTTTGATGTTATAGTCCCATTCTGGACTCAGAACACTAGACACTCTAACCAAGTTTCTCGGTAAATTTTAGGAAACAACGAGACAGTCCAGTACAGTACCTCCGTTTTCTAGGTGCCTGGTAGGTCAGGGGAGACTGCATAAGAGGCACTTGGCTGAGGCGGGAAAGAAGTAAAGGAGAGTGATAATACAACGTAACTGCGGCGGCTCTGCCGCTGTCGGGCCAACAGGGCCACGTAAAGCACAGAGAACTTGACGACCGGCCGTAATGACCACACCAACTACCTCCCACTGCTTGTTGCTGCTCGTTATACACTCGGACGACCTTCTCTCAGCTTGTTACTGGTCGTTATACGCCAGGACGACTCTCTCAGTGCATGCCGTCGCTCGTTATACACACACACACACGACGACTCTCTCTATGCTTGCTATAAAATCTTTGACGACCTTCCCTCTCTGCCTGCTATGCACTCTGGAAGACCTCTTGCTATACATGATTGATAATTCTTTCTATTCGCTATTTACCCAAGATGATCCCGTCAATATTTGCTATACACAGTAAACGAAGCTGTATCTGTGTGCTATACACCATAATGATCAATTTCTGTCTGTCTATCTGTCTGTATCTCACTTTGTTATACGAAATAGTAATGTTCGTAATAGTATCAACAACACTACTATAATCGTAATAGTATTGATAATTGTCGTAACGAAATATTAAGCAGGTGAAATAAAATGAACAATGGGAAAACCAAGACAAGAGAGGGTATTCACCTTACTTGTGAGGTGTTTGGTGGTCCTGATAAGAATTATTGGTTAGTATTGAATAAGACCAAGACATGATATCTACACTGGCATAAATTCTAATATACGACTGTTAGGAGGCCGTCTCGACATTCTTCAGTTCCCGGGATTTTTTTTTTTTATTATTGGCCTATCAAAGTTTTGAGTTAAGAGTGCAAAAATTACTTGACCCATTGGGCTTTCAAATTAGTACACATCAATCACAAGTACCTTCCATTTTGAGTGTTTTTGACCTCGATGATGGTAATATTAACTGAGAGCGAAGCGTCTAGTTGATCATTAAGGGGTAGACTAGAGGATAATAGGCCGGGGGTAAATAAGGATTAGGATTTACTGTCAACGTCACCTCAACTCTCCAGGGAGTTCTTGTGTCACTTCAGGTAACAGCAGGTAACACATGTAAGGATGGCAAGATAACCAATGCCTCTCGTTATTATCTAGTGATCATTGACTACAGATTGCTGAAATGCTACTACGAGAAGCGATTTTTCTTATGTATGTTAATCTAATAACATCTTAGAGAAGTTACGCTTTTTTATCGAAAAATACTATAAACCTCTTGTAATCCTTGTACTGCACAATATTTACAAGTAACTAAGTAAAAATGTTATTAAGCTTGAATATATCTTTTAGAAATATAAAATTTTCTTTGACCACAATCACATCATACATACACTCAGCCAACCAAATGGATTAAACTAGCCCTCCATTATACCAAACGAAAATATTTCAACATGAAACTCAATATCTCGTCGCGAACATCCCCCCCTCAACCCCCACCCTCATCCCACGGTATGAGAGCACCGGTTCTCCATAAATCCTTGGGGCCAGAGTTATTGGATCAGTACCCACCCCTAGAGAGTCGCGCTGACAGCTGAATTCTTGGAAGAAAAAAAAAATCCAATATATGCTCCACCAGAGATCAGCTTGAACGAGAGACCCCCTTTGATTTGCCTCCGAGAAAAAGAGGGATTGGATAGGTTAAAAAAAGGGGGGTATTTTAGTTGTCCTATTCTCTGTGGGACATCATCTGAAAGAGAGAGAGAGAGGAGGGCTGTACATCACAGGACTTGTGTATCATCAAGGAATAGCACAAAATAAGGTAGAAACTATTTAATTCGATATTTGCTAATAACATACATCATAATCATCGTTAGTTGAGAGGAAGGTTGAAATTATGTTGAATTATGATACAATAAGTGTTCTAACACTTGATCTAATTAAAGCACCTTTACCATTAAGGGGTAAGGCTTATCGTTTCAGCCATTATCTTGATCTCACTGATTGTGTTCAAAATCTCAATATGTAGTCCTGAACATGTTGATTAAGGATTGTTGTAGGCAGTTTGATATCTGTATAATTACTTGTCCAAATGACCTCTAAATTTCTTAAGTAAGTGACATTGAAAACCACAGGCGGTGAGTAATTAGCAGTAGAAAAGAAATTAGGGTTAGAAAAACAATTAATGTTATTGAGATGTAATTTGGTCAAGTAATTAATAGTGTGTGTACACAATGTGAGGTCGAGTAGTTTTGGGGTACTTGTTTAACGACGCTGTGATCTGTATGTGATTTGTTAGTGGAAAACGACACATACAAGAATATGGGGGGTGATTTCAGTATAAGCTTCAGAAAATACCATTAATCTATAATGTAAACTTACCTTCTCAAGCTCACTCACTACCTTGTCACCCAAAACATCCCCATAATAATATGAATGCTTTAAAATCATGAACAGTATATTTTTTTTTACTTTCTCATTAACAGGGCGAAGGCTACAGGACTCAAAGCCATTAACTTGTTTTCCAGTCACAAACTTGTGTGAACTTTGTGTGGAATCGGTATCATTAAAATATAGATACATATCAGAGGTGAAATTAAATAATGAGAACCTCTGAAACATATTTTTAATGATATATGTACAAATACACTAAGAACAATTTATAAACTTCATTTAAACCTGACTAAGGTCCATGAAGACCACCACACATCATGACAGTACGTGAGCGACAACTGGCCCTCATGTTCATCACCCTCTGAGTGGCTCATCCTCTTCCTGGTGGTATTGTCGATACTTACTGTAAGCGTATTAAACTCCTGTTGGTAGTCTGGTGATGCTTATTGATGGCGTTTTTGGTCGTGGAGTGGTTGACTCAAGTTGATGGCGTGGTTGACACTTGTTGATGTTGAGGTTCTGAGGTGGTGTTTGGTGGGGATTATGGTTTATGCTTGCTGGCTGAAATAGCTAATGTTTACTGGTGCATCGATTTTGCAGGTGTTGTGATAAAGGTTACAGCGCCTAATGATGGACACTGTTTAAGAACATGATTATAAACGGACTCGAGATAAACAATATTTATGGTTTCTGCTCTGTGCGTCTTTAGAAAGTCACTAAAGTTATTATCTAGACCTCACGTACGTGTAATTTTTTTGTTTAATTAATAATTAGAAACAAATGATAAATCTAATGGACAGATGTAACATGTACAGTACAACCATTTACCACCAACACTGAGGCCTATCACCGGGTGAATGTTTTGTCAGGGCAGAGGGAGGGGATGGTGTTGTATGTAGCCCGAACAGTTCAGCAGCTGTTCCCCGGTGTCCAATGACCGAATGTAGGATAAAATGGCACAGGAAAAAATGGCACAACTCCATGACAAAACCCCCCTAGGACATGTGAAATATTTAATTTATTATATCAAAAGATTTTAATAAAGAAAACTGTTTATGTATTATATAGGATCACATATTAACACAATCATAAATATGAACATATAAAAAGACCATCATACAGTATCTAGCCAAAGCCAGTAATCAAATAATACACAATATTCTAGAGCTCATTAAGTGTTCAGGTTCATTTACAGTTCATTTTACTTCCACCTGATGCTATGAACACTCTGGGGAGGATTTTCTTTAAGGTGTTGTGTTTCACCAAATTGGATTTAGATCATATTAAATAAATACTATATTTCATAATAGTGGCGGATCCAAGGTGGCGTAATTTTTTACTTGACAAGTAACATGGGTCGTCATGTCGGCGCTGAAATTACTGAACAGCAGGTCAATGACCAGTGCCGACACGAGAACATATTATCACAGGTTAAACAGGTCAAAATCTCCACTTGGGAAGGTAAACTTCACGTGGGGTCAAGTCAATTAATTGTGTGTTGGACTTGAGAAGCATTAATATATCTTGTGATATTTTTTTCAGTGCTGTTGTTTCCGAGTCCCTAAATAACCACCCTGTGTTCTTCATAGACACCATTTCAATAGTTGTACATCACACATTATGCGGAAAATAGTCCGTCTTAATATAGCAAGACACAGATAATAACCACACTTAGTCTAACTTCAATATGAATAAAAATGAAAGAGGAAACAAACACACACTTGGTCAAAAAACAATTTGTCATGAATCCTCCAAGTGGACCGGAAGGCCTTAGCGTGGGTGTTTGTTTACATCCTAACCACTCGAAGAAATAACATTTTACAACTAATATCACGAAGCGCTTCATATACATCAGCACCGCAGAGCATTTGTAAATGAACGAAAGAAGCGCTTTATGTAGTATCTGGTATAATCTAATATTTATACGGGTATTGAGAAATGCCAAACGAAATAAAATCTATAATACAATTTCCATCCGAACCCTTTTCTTACACGGTCGGATAATAATTCTCATAATGTGATCCGATGTTGTTGTCAGGAGATTTGCACTTGGCTACTCCTGAGGCTTTTATTACTTATTGTCGCTACAAATAGTCACGTAACTGAGTGCTCCTCTTATTCTTACCCCGAGACCGTACACGTCAGTATAAAAACGAGCTGCATGACCAAGTTATCATTTAAAGTAGATTTTTGCGTGTGGTTGTATGTGCGTATTAATCCGTGTGTGTGTGTGTGTGTGTGTGTGTGTGTGTGTGTGTGTGTGTGTGTGTGTGTGTGTGTGTGTGTGTGTGTGTGTGTTTAAGGACTCGGCTGGGGTAGAGAGCATGTGTCAGTAATAAACATTAATATACACGTAGTACATGGGTAACCTCCTTTAAACATATTATCGACTTACTCTCACAAGATATAACTATATAAAACGAATGAGAGGCATTTATGATTTATATATTTACAGTAATTTTGTCTTGTGACGCGCACGTGCAAAACTTGTTCACGTATCTACCACGTAAAACATGTGAAGAGTTTAACATAAGGAAATAATCGCCGAGTAGTTTCCATTACTTCTACAGATACGTACAAAACGTATCAGATACTTCGTCTTCGACAGTGAGATGCTATCACAGTGTTACTCTCAGATCTAATACGTTAAATTATGTAATTAATTGTGATATGAGAGTTACATTAGCCTTAGAGAGATATTCCTCACCTCCTGCTGTCAATGATCACTTGTCTCCCTGTGATGTCGTCTTCAACTTAAATATATGATAATATTTTGAACACTAAATGGCTGTATGTACAAGTATTTAGAAAATGACGTCCAATGACTTAATTCACCTTTAAAGTTCCCCCGGGAGATGAGTGACGAAAATACCGTTCCTCCTGTTGGTCAAGACTGATATAGTGCAAACACGTTCCCACCATCAGGTCACACCAGTCGAGAGTTAAAAGACCAACGACTAGTAGCCTTATTAATATAATGTTTAATAGATGTCTGTGAAACATCATTATTGATGACTATGTGAAAAATATATATTTTGTCCCCCAAAATACGGATAATCTATAAAGGTACAATGTTATGTTATTCCAGGAGGACACAACGACTCGGGTGGACGCTCGGTTGAGAACACCTGACTACACGACACAGGTATATCCATCCTTCAGTCGTCATATCCGGGTTCTATCTTCGTCACACATTTACAAAGGTGGAAGAACAGTAGAGAATACGCACATAAGAAGTAAAACTGAAAGAATACAGTTATAAATGTAGCTACACTGTGACTACACTACAGTGACTTAACTCTCATGAGGAAGACTATAAACTCGACTATAGTCTTTCAGTGCTGGAAAAAACAATCACTGAAAAATCAGTATCGTAAAAGGCAGATTTACAAGTATATAATAATATCTCTCTTTTTCAACCTGCTGCGGTTTTCGCACAATGTTACGGTCAGCCAAATAAAAGCTACGGTAACAATGAGGGTCATAATAAGTTATGTAATATTAGCAATTTTGAACCTACGGCAGAGTAACTGCAGGACAATTTTCTCTATTTACAGTGAGCTAAAAACTGGCTCATGTTACAGTGACAGTTTCCAGGAGCCAGACACGAGAACGTTCTTTGGTCAGCGTGTAACTGCACACTGCCCTACCATAAACAACATTCTGCTCTGTAACTATTTTGACGACGAATAGAAAAAAAAAATATACAAGGATTTACAATGAACTTATTTTTAGTTCTAGAATCTGACTTGGAGAGCTGTACTGCCTTTAATCCTCACAGGAAGTTATACGGGATCACTGTGTCTGAATCCATAATCAAGAAGGTTACTTCCTGTACTAAACTTCTTAGCTGGGAGCAATTTACTCTAGTGAGGGCGCAACTGAGTGTAGGAGAGTAAAGGGTGTTGGAGAAACTGTGGGGAAGAGTCAGCTGGGAGAGAACGCCAACACTCCTGTTATCATCACCTCCAGCAGGATAGTGAGCAGCCCCGCCAGGACCACCACCTGCCGCTGCTGCTGTCCGTAACAGGTGTTGCTGCTGCTGCCTGTGGGAGGTACGACACGGATAAGTTACGGGAGAAATTACAGACAATTTGATACAGACAATTTTATTGGTAGCATGAACCAAGAAAATACATTTATAACACACACACACACACACACACACACACACACACACACACACACACACACACACACACACACACACACACACACACACACACACACACACACACACACACACACACACACACACACACACACACACACACACACACACACACACACACACACACACACACACACACACACACACACACACACACACACACACACACACACACACACACACACACACACACACACACACACACACACACACACACACACACACACACACACACACACACACACACACACACACACACACACACACACACACACACACACACACACACACACACACACACACACACACACACACACACACACACACACACACACACACACACACACACACACACACACACACACACACACACACACACACACACACACACACACACACACACACACACACACACACACACACACACACACACACACACACACACACACACACACACACACACACACACACACACACACACACACACACACACACACACACACACACACACACACACACACACACACACACACACACACATACACGTTTATAAAACCACTATTGCACTGAAAAGTAGTTCAAGGATCATATTGAGCACACTCATATATTTTCTTACAACGTCTCTACACATATCTTTTGGGTGAACATTTTATCTCTATTAACTACCCTAGGGTGACTTCGCTCCTACCCTCAGTGACCCAGGGATGACCTAACTCCCCTCACTGACCCGGGAATGACCTAGCTCCCCCCCTCAGTGACCCTGGGATAACCTAGCTTCTGCAACAGACAGTGGACGCCCCACCTGAGTAGGCTGAAATATCCCGAGACTCCATGACGGGGACGTTGTAGGTGAGTTCATCCTCGACGCTGTGCTGCTGTGTCTTGTAGTATAGGGTGGGGATCATGGCCGAGCACCGTAGGTGCATCTCGCCGTCGTGAAAGTGCTCACGAGAGACAACGAACTTGAGGCCCTTTCGAGTCTCCATCAGTCCGTTCTGCTCGGAGCGGCTGTTGTTCATGAATACGACGTACTGTCGCGGAGCCTGTCGAGAAACACAGAGTTATAATTAATATGTGACACATAAGGACATAAGACACACGTGTGTCAACAATAGCATGTTATATTTTATTACGAATTTATACATACGACGATAATTCACTCAGCAATGCCTAACAACAATTACGCTTTACCTCGATGCACAACGTACACGAGAATGATATACTTGGTGTCTGATTACAGCACAATAATCCATGATACACTCATTAGGGCCTTACAATATTGCCATAGTTCAAGACAATTTAATGTGAGGATGGGGTGCATGTCTGTGGTCCCTCAGATATTGTTTTCCCATTTTACAGCAGACGCTCGATGTAAGTCCTTCTTTATAAAGGAGAATACGTATATGATTTAGGTAAACTGTAATTCAAAAAAAACCCAGTAGATCGTAATCAGCTTGAAGTTGTAGTTCTTTGAAACAATCATCGTAATAACGAAAACAATATAACAATAGTTACAGCCACTCACCGTCTCTCACGGACACTCTGGTCACCATCATCACTGAATATTTGAGAAACTTATTGGTCCCCGCGGTGGCATATCTACAGTACTTGAGCAATTGATGAAGATTGACCATATAATAGTAATGGCTTAATGGTGATAAGCTAAGGTGAAAAGAAACGACGGAAGAGATAGTTTGTGGGGGGTAACTTCTGGAGAGTTACGCTGTGAGGCCACTGTTTATTTATTATTTATTTTTTTTTGCATTTTCCTGGATGTGTCGTGAACATCATCGTTAAATCATTTTTTGTAGACTATTAGATGAGCTAACTAACCTTTACAGAACAATCAATGGATAATTTTTGTTAGATTAGGTTTGGCTGGTTTATATATCATTAATTAAATAAATAATTTAGATGAGTGAGTACCCGCTCTAATTCGTGGATTTATTCAGAAAATTTAAATATTGCCTCTGTATTGTGGTGATATTGCCCGTGTCCAAACTTTTGTTAGGGTAAAATTTAAATTCACTACACTTGAGTTCATCATGAATTTCAGCCTAAAAGCGTCAGGTTCAAACTATGTTACCAGCTTTATATTCGGGTGCAGAGATAGGTGATACGGTTGGTACTAGATTAGGAAATAAAAATCATACTGCATTTCATATAACTGACGATTTTTCTACCTTCATAATACACGTGGTAATGTAAACAGAGATGGACTTTGGGACGTCGGATTCATTTTGTTTAGTATTTATGTAAAAAAAATCCCTGAATATTATTAAATCTCTTGAACGAACGTAGCGTTTATATGAGAGTAAATGATGTCATGAGTGAGTGGCATAAAATAAACGTGGCAGGGCGTCTGATCTATGTCATGTCAACCGTGGTGTTTAATGTGTTTTTACGACAGTGCGCAATATGAGGGTGAGACGGGTTGATTACTGGGTATGTATGTATCCAGGTGACACAGAGGAAGGAAACTGCTGCACCTTCTGTATGAGGATGATAATGTCATGCAGAAATACACAGAAGAGAATTGTGGAGGCTGACTGACTGTACCTGTCTAGTTCTAGTGTATAAGTATTATTCTGAGTGACGATGGTCATGTGGCCAAACTTTAATGTTAAAAACCGTGTAAATCATTAAAAAAAATCACTGTTTAAAGAGTATCACAGAGAATGGGAATGAAATACATGTATAATGTTAACGAAGTCTGAGTTATGTTAAGTTTGCTGCGACTTTTTTTTTTGGATAAAACTATGTAAAAGTCCTACAAATAATAGAGATAACAAAATAACTAATTATAATTATCAAGAGAGTAATGAGGAACAAAATAATCCCTTAATTTAAAAGAGCAAACAAAGGAAAAATAGTTAGTAAAGAATGAACTTATAGGAAAAACTTTCGTTATATAATGAAAACATCTGGGAGCGACATGCATGACTCTAATCATACAGTCGGTGAGATCACTTAAGACATGCAACGGATGAAGGATTGATGATGATGATTTATATTATAGGAGGGGAGGGGAAGGGAGGAGAGGGGAGAAAATGAACATCGTCAGTGAATGAGTTACAACGGTCCACCCACGAACTGAGGCCAGAGGAAACAACATAGACGGTTCGTGGCCGCTGGGAGATTCCAGTGTGGCGAGTAAAAAAAAAAAAAGAAAAGAAAAAAGAAGAAGAAAAAAAAGAAGAAATTGCAAGAAAAGTTCCTCTCGACAACTCAGCTTTTGTGTAACTTAGATACACAAGTAAACACTATATGTGTATTTCATAGATTCACCGTTGACTCCTTAACATTATACTAAGGGTTGACGAGGCATCTATGATTTATTATTCTGTTTGATCTCCTTTCTGTATATGAAAATGAGTTTAAGATTATATCAAGAAATCGCCGCAGTCGAATAATCTTGACTGTACTTTTAGTAAGAGAAAGTGACTTCACGTAGCCAGCCAGCTCACTATATTTTTTATGGGCATAATTTCGTAGCAGGGTGGGGAGGCCCACTGCTCAATATACGTGCAGCTTTGTAGAGATTTTCAGCTCCCTACAGAGGAAGACACGGTTTCGGAGTCTGCCAAAGGCTTGAGATGCACATCTGATCCGATGCTGAATCTCTTCATCAATGTCTGCGGTGGTGGACAGGTGGGAGCCGAGATACCGAAAGTGGGTAACATTAAAGAGGGGTGTACCGTTAAGCTGGATAGATGGTGGAGGTGTATTTGAACCAGGGGCAGGTTGAAAGAGATTTTGAGTCTTACGTACATTCACCTCAAGACAGAAGTGTGCATACGCATCTGCGTAGATGTTCAGGACATCCTGTACGTCATGTTTAGTGTGAGCAACAAGGCTGAGGTCGTCTGCATACTGAAGTTCAGCATTGGAAGATGCCGACACCTTTGTTCTTGCCTGGATGTCCACCCCGCAGGCTAAATTGGCACTGACACGAGTAATGAAGGCAGCCAAGAAAATGGAAAAGAGAGTTGGTGCCAGTACACACCCCTGTTTAACCTCTGTTTGGATGGGGAAGAACTCAGACTGGGTGCCGTTGTGCAGGACACTGCCGTTCATACCATCGTGGAGTTGCCTCAGAATGGTGATGAAATTTGGTGGGCAGCCAAAACGACTGAGGGTCCACCAGAGGGCTTCCCTGTTGACCGAGTCGAAGGCCTTGGTTAGGTCGATGAGAGCCATGTACAGGGTCACGACGCTGTTCTCTGCACCTTTCCTGTGTCTGACGGGCAGCAAAGATCATGTCAGTGGTGCTACGTGATGGTCTAAAACCACATTGAGATTCTGGGAGGAAGTTTTCCGCCTCAGGAAGAAGTTTGTGTAGGAGGACTCGGGCGATAATCTTGCCAGCTACGGAGAGCAGCGAGATCCCACGGTAGTTGCCACATTCTGACCGGTCTCCCTTGTTCTTATAAATATTGACAATGGAGGCGTCTCTAAGACCTTGGAGAATTTCCTCCTTTTCCCATATACAGGGAGAGAGTGGAGACGGCTGGTAACCAAAGGTCCTCCTGCTTTATTCACCTCGGCTGGGATTCCGTCAGGCCCAGAGGCTTTATTAGTCTTCATCTGTTTGATGGCTACCTCATCCAGGGATGGAGGATAGCTGAGGTGGGTCAGCTCTGGATGCTGAGGGACCTGCTGGGTACTCAAGACATCCTGAGTTAACCACTAATATGTGAATAGAAAAATAAACAATAAACTGCTTTGTAATATCACCATTGATTGCACTTTACACAAAATAAATAATTAGAGAGCAGCACTGACTAGATAATACTCAATTAAACTCTATTTGAAAAGGTATCCACCACTGACAAACTGAGAAGTCCTCATACTCCCAAGGCCAGCCAGTGACTAGAGTATGGAGCGATGTCAGTGACATCACGCCATACTCCAGGGAACTACCAACCTAAAACTAATATTAATGAATTCCCCCATTAAGATGCAAAAATACCAACATACATACAGAAAAATATTTTATATATCAAATACCAGCCCTGCTCACACATCATTATACGAAATTATATTTACATAACTTGGGTAACATGCCTAAAAAATATTTCACTATGCACAGCGCAACGCACCAATGTACATTACGCCATGCATAACAAGATACAAACCGTACAACCAGGCACACACACACACACACACGTGTATATATATATATATATATATATATATATATATATATATATATATATATATATATATATATATATATATATATATATATATATATATAATGTATCATGTTGGTTGAGCGGATGTTTCCCGTAATGGGTAAGGTGAAGTGTACTTGTATAGAGTCGACGGTGTTGCCTGCGTCAGCGAGTCGTTGTTTATTATAACACATCATATTATCAATTATTTCTTCTCGCCTTACCTCACTCCTTAGTTTATCCTAAATCACACTATAAAAAAGTATATACGTGAAAACTGAATATATTTATCAATAATTACATGCCAAGCTCTACTACTGCATTTCATAAATAAAATTATCCACAATTACTATGCAACATCATAACAACTCTTAACAAATCAGCTTCCCTCAGAACTGCAATCAGTAGATATTTAAATTCTTATAAACAAGCAAATAATCCCTTTACCCAGCTATTCCATTATTTTGATATACCTACCGTGCACACACCACCATAGTCAAATAAAGATCTAAAGGAATTGTTTCACAAAGGCAAATCACATTATCTCTTGCTCTAAATCAGATTATAAGCAATTCCACTCACGGTATGAACGCGGACCACTAAAAGCCTTTGTCAGTGTGTTCCCCGTTGACCAGGGCGGTGTTGCAAGCAAACATGTATATTGGCTTATGTTACAACTGGACACACGCCAATTACATCATACTCGGGGTAAAAATTCTCTCTTCCAACCCCTGTGTTTCGCGGTCGCTTTCTCTGTCTGTTCCTCTCTTCTGGGTCTCTATGTTTTATTGTCTTTGATTACCTATCTGTCTGGTGACCTACAGTGTGTTTTTTGTTCTCTCTTACTCACTCTTATTATTTCCTTA